AGATATGAAAAAGTTGAACAATGTTGAAAGTAGTGTTATAAATAAATAATTTTTAATAAATTAAAAAGAAATATGAAAAAGTTGAACAATGTTGAAAGTAGTGTTGAATTTTTGAAATGTTGCGTTAACAATAGTCTGTTACCAAAATATATATATATATTTTTACAATATTCTATAAATTCAAATAAGGCCATATTTGCAGCATGAATTCGAAAAATAAGTTTATTTTGAATTTATATATATATATATATATATATATATATATATTCTATTATATTCATATATTCTTGTATATATTATATACATATTTATATATATAAATGTCACCAAGTACACTTCAAAGTCTTTGAACTTGAACAAAATTAATATGATATATTTATAAATATATAAATATATATATATATATATATATATATTTATATATATTTATATATATTTATATATATTTATATATATTTATATATTTAATCATTCATTCAATTTTTTTTAAAGTTTTTTGGTGAACGTTTAGTTTATTAAAATTCAAAATAAACTTATTTTTCGAATTCATGCTGCAAATAAGGCCATATTTTGATTTCGAATGAATCATCATTAGTGCTCCTTGCTGTATATATAGGGAAATATTGACTTTGTCAAGATGAACTTTGACGTTGTAAAAATTAACTTTGGTGTTGTAAAATTGAACTTTGATGTGAATTAGGTGTCAGGTTTCTTTATTGGCTGGTCATCTTCTTTGGTCTCCTTTTCTTCATCGATAGCATCATATTCTTCTTTGTCACTATTTGCGATGATAGTTTTTATTACTTCTTTGTTTTCGTTGTTGGTTAAGCGCCGGGTTGGAAGTGAGGTTGTCATTTTTTGTTGTATATTTATTTTTGGTTTATTGATGTCAATTAGGACTGCTTCTGCAATTTTAAGATGCGTGTGGTTAATGTTCTGGTATATTACTTTGGTGTTGCTGTCGAGGATTTCACGGCTAATTGTGATTGAGTGTGTTGATTCCAAATGAAATTTGATAGCACCACTCTGTTTATGCATCGTAGCCTTCTAGTCAGTGAGGTAGTAGTAATCCCGATATATGAGTCATGTTGACGTGCACAGCCGTCAAAGGGGCAATTAAATTCACGTAATATATGAATTCGTTTTTTTTTAGTTTTCTCACTAATATATATATATATATATATATATATATATAAATTTTTTTCAAATTACATGGGAAACATGTTGCATTGAAGTCTCTGCTAATTATTTATTGTCAATCATTAATTCTCATTCGTTTGATGCATAACTAAACAAGGTAAAATCATTCAAAGATTATTGAACTTGTAGAGTTGTGCGCAAGTTTAGAGTAGGTCTTAGTGAAGTAGTTGGTGCGTGCCAACAATCGTACAACCGTTCTTAAAATTAAGATTACTGTGTGATTGACGACTCAAAAATATTAAACTCAATTTTAAACTGCTAGTCACAAAAAAAATTCAATTTTAAAATACAAATGTTTACTATATAAAATTTATATTTGAAGAACATAGTGCTCATTGCTAATGCACTTAAATAAGTTTATTTATTCACAAATCTGAGCAGAGGACCTAACAGACTACTTATCCAACCAGCAGTGCTTCATCATGATTCGGCTTCGGGTCTATAAATTAGGGTTTGGATAAACTAGGATTTTTTTTTCTTCTTGGATTAATATCGAATTCGAATGACATGAAAAACCAGATCAAAATATAAAAAAAAACAATATCAGCCAGAAATAATTCACATTTCGGAACCACTAAAATCTGTCAACCCTCTTTTCAAAATTGCTTCAAAAACTTTTTAGTTTTGTTACTTTTTTTACTTTTGACTTATAAAATTTGCTGCATAAACATAGAAACACATAGTCCATAGTCTGGAAATGACATAGAAGTGTGGAAATGTCGTTTAAATAACAAAAAAAAAACAAAATGACATGGCAAATAATAACGTTACTGTTGAAAAAATTGGTTAGTTTTGATTCGGTCGTTTGTTCCTGGTGCATATTACTTTGAGAAACACACTTAATCGTGAGACGAACATTCATCTGTTTAAAATGTAATTTTTTATTGAAAGAACAGGTTTTGGAAAAACGCAGTAAATGGGAATGAAGTCATTGTTTTTTATTATCCTAGATCTTGGATTATACTTTTTATTCGTGAAATTAAGTCATACTAAAAAATGAAGTGAAATAAAAATAGATAGGAAATTTCAAAATAAACTTGCATATTAGTATTCCGTATAATGTCAATTGGATAATAATTGGTGTTATAATATTAAAAATTCTAACTTGGATTTTTGTGGTGAAGTAAACGATTTGGGGGTTTTGTTTGAATGTTCACTGAGCTTTTCTAAGTATATACATCATGTCATTAATAAATGTTTTGTTCTTTTAGGATTTTTATACAGAAACTTTAAAAATTTAACTAGAGAGTCATTTATTTTGATATATAAATTTTTAATTAGGTTAAAGTTAGAGTATGGTGCCAGTGTATCGTCTCCTTGAAAAATAAAGGAAATTGACAAATTGGAAAAGGTTCAGAAACAGGCAACCATGCTGGTCAGGGATTGCAAAGGCCTTTGTTACTCGAATCGATTGAAGTTCCTTGGCTTGCCAACTATAAGATTTAGAAGAGTTCGTGGAGACATATTAACGATTTTTAACATCGCGAAAGGTATGGTAGATAGAGATTCCTCACCAGCTTTGTGTTTTGATACGGATCCACGTACCAGAGTGCATCGCTATAAAATACATGTTCAAAAGTTCCATACAAATACAAGAAAGTATTCGTTTTCTAACAGAGTGATCTCTATTTAGAACAATTTACCGACATGTGTTGTTGAATCAGATACTGTTTCCAACTTCAAGAAGAATTTTGATTTATATATGGCCAACAAAGAATTTTTCTATGATCATAAAATGGACATTGTTGTTTGATTACTTTTTGTTGTCTTTTAATGATATTTTGATATGGGCATATTTAACTTACGTTTAAACCCATTATTTATTTATATTTATATTCTCTACCCAAGAATCATATAAAAAGATATTTCCTTTGATTTATAATGAATCATTATGCAAATGCCCGGGTGCATACAGAACATCATCACCCCGCAGCCTTCATGTTTTGGCAGGAGAGATGTCTTTTAACTAACAACAAACATTAAAAACTGCACTAAACTACTATTTTAAAATCAAATTTCAATTGAAAAATACAAGAAAAACTCAATAAAAAAAATTAAAAAGCTTAGACTTTTTTGGCGTAAACTCACCAGACTATATAAAAGAAATTATGAAATCAGTGTCTAATTTTCCTGTTCGAGCTCGGTTGAGGTCGGCAAATCATGGTGACCTTATTGTCCGCGCTACAGGTCATCTTTTTTTTGGCCAAAGATGTTATCGACTGCGTCTGCCTAAATCTAGAATTTAGGCAGACGCAGTTATCGGCATCAGCCGTAAAATAATAATAATAATAACATTTATTTTGCGCGGATTTCCACAACAGCCTGTGAAAAGAATCCTTAATATTTAAAAAACTCAACTGTTTAAGCTAAAGAGACATTTGATGCTCCATAAAACACGCTATCGGGGGTAGGGTTTGAGGGTTTCAACAAACAACCAACATTTTTTGCAGAATAGAGAAATGGATTAAATGAAATCTCTACTTTTATAAAATTAGGCAATCCAATAGTTGACACAGAATAGGCTGAAAATATCTGCCAAAATCGCTAATTTCAAGCTAATAAAATTTGGTTGAAAAATGGTCACTCAGAAATTACACATTCACGAATCTTCAACATACCAAATTCACTTTATTGAACGTTATTTAAATGCCAACAGTAATAAAAACACTAAACTAATCCAAGTAACTACATGCTTTACAATTACAACTTCGCTTCTAACCTCGCTCGAAAACCTCTACTAACGTGTGTGTTTTAACAGGACCATGGAAGCATTTATGGTAGATAGATTCGATATCTTTTTACAATCCTTTGGTTTACGATCCGAAGATTACAAATACAACAAAGATAACAATAGTTAGGATAACAAATGATTTTAGCGCAATGTGATCATTCCGGCGTTTATAGGAATATATTTTTGAAATGCAATAAATATGTCAAAGTCAAAAAAGTTCAGTCTCTCGTTGGCTCATAAATTGTTTTCTCAATGAAAATCTCGGAAAAATGATTTCAATTTTGGTGACGATAATGTTAACTGACAATTTTTGAACTTTTAATCAAAAAGAAATCCGACTTTCGTCGATGACGAGATGGCGTAAAGATAGCCTCTAAACGCCGTGAAAATGCAAAAAAAAACCATGTTAGGATATGGTAAATGTTTGTTCATAAATTTGCAATTAAATATTTACACAGTTTAATAATAAAAACACTATGTAAAAATAAATTGATTTCTATTTTTTTCTGGTTCAATATCTTTTAATTTAATAATGCATAAAATTGAGGTTATGTTGCCTCATACAAAATAAAAAATTGCTTTGATTGAATATAAATTGATTAGTTGCATTCATTTGATGTATATATTAGCGTTGAGCAAGAAATTTAAATTTTAGCCGAAAGAAATCATTAAATAAACTGCAGTTGTTTGTCTCCTGATTAAGTTCACTAAGTTCTATTTTTCAAAATACTGAATAAAAAAAAATTATGTCATTTATTATTATTTTTATTATGATGATGAGTGTGTTACATGTAAATCGCTGTTCACAGATATCAACTGGTTGGTGATGTTTATTTCAATATTTTTACTGTTAAAAATAAATTATGTTAATTCCAGATTTGTTTATGTTTTTGTTTCAGACGAAGATGTAGAGCCATGTCCAAAGGTGTTGTTGTTCGCCGTACAGGTCAACAAGAATAGGGGGAATCTTAAAACGGTTTCCATACCCCGTTCAGGCAAACATCAGGTACCTCCCTGAAATTTCTGCTATGTTTTAAATACAGCATTTGAAAGTTAATGTTTGAAAAAATAGAATTTCATTTTTATTTAAAACTGAAAATAATAAATTATTAATTCAAAGAGCTATTGCATGTACGAAGATAAAAAGTCAAAAGATGTTTTCACTTATCATTATCCCGTAAATGTTAGAGAAGAGTTTTATTAGGTGAGCTATTTATATTTTTTCACAGTAAAATTGAACACTGAGTAACTCATTAAGTAAAAACTTTATAATGGTTCTTGATTTAATCGGAAATTGCATTTCCGATTTCAGACATATCATTTATCAATCGAAACAATTTTTTTAAAGTTTTTACAAAAACTGATGATTAAACACATTTGATGCAAATAGATTTCGTAATGTCTTCAGTAGAAACACTATTATCAAAATGACAGTATCATCATTAACTAAATGTAAAAGAATATTTTTATCAAAATAATGGTTATCAATTTTAAACAAATTGCAGACTGGCTCATTTGAATACAAAAACAAAAAGTATGAATTGGTGCCTTACAATTCAGAGGTGTGCAAAAACAACTTTGTGGTCACACACATCAGAAATGTGAGACACGTCTTGTGTAGAGTATGAAATAACAGTTTTTTTGTTAGATATAATCTGGTTTTTTGACAGATTTTTTTGAATAAAAGTTGGGATAAAAATTTGTTGTTTTTTTTTTACAAACTATGAATTTATGAATTTTTATAATTATTTCAAATTATGAAACTCGCTAGAAAAATTTTTCAAACGTTTTATTATGAATTGCAACAGATGTATATACTTGACCAACATTTATTCAAAATCTTTACATTTATCAGTCATTTTGTCCTCAGTCAATCAATCAATTAATCAATCAACCAACCAACCAATCAATCATTCAATCAGTGATTTATTCAACCTTGAAACATCAATTCTCAGCCTGTGGGTGTCGACTCCTTCTGAGGTCGAATGATGATTTGGCAAGATTCGCAAAAACATACCGAAACATTATATTGTTTTTCTTTTAATGTGCATTGAAATTTTTGACATTGGTCATGTGTGTAGCGTGAGTTAGGGGTAGACAGAATAAAACTCTCAAGGTTTTAAGTTTTCATCTTTTATTAAACAACAAATTAGTCCAACTGGGATAACAAATTGAATAACAAAGTTAACAGTTTATATCAAGTCTGTAAGTGTTACACCTGGAGTTCTGTACAACTTCCTTCACAATTAGTTTCGTGGACACCGACGTTATATACCTCTCCGTCAACTCGGTGAACGGCCTTCTTCTGGAGAATTTATGGAATGCGTTTATACGTGGGTATATTTCTTCATGTAGTCACTGCCCTGTTGTTGTGTGACTGGGGTGTGCGAATGCTGTTGTAGCGACGGCCTCCGGACAACACGGTGCACCAGGGTTATTTCTCGAGGTTTCTTCTCGTTTCGATATGTTTGGTTCTTCAAATGTCTATTTTAACCACCCACAGATATTTCGAAGAACGACTAACAAAATGTTGTTTTATCTACCACTAATTACCAACTTAATTTAAGGCAAAATCAGAATACGTTAATTAACTCGCTACCTCCCAACGTTAACAAAGATGTCCGTCCTCGTTTTTTTTTCACCTCGCTTACATACCCACACCTCGTCTCTCGCGCATGGGCATTATATCATTAATTCTCTAGCGCTGCATCTATAGCTCCAACTGTTACAATGTGTTCCCACAATTATTTAATTATTGATCATACTGATCTTGTTAATTTACGAAATTTGGTAAGATCCCACTTGCCTGCACTTCGATTGCAGTCAATTTTGAAAAATTTTCTGAAAAACAATAACAAAATTTGGTTAAACTCGTTTATAGTGTTGCGGTTGGTATATGTATATGTAGTGTATATGTTTTTGAGAACACAAAACCAAAAAGAGCAGTGAGCGGGAGAAGAAAAGAATAGTATTCGTTTGGATAGGCTGGACACGTGTTTCGTCCCTACCGGGGACTCATCTCATCTTTTTTAAATTCATGTTTGAAATAAAATTTACCTTAATTTTTCATTTTATATCTTTAACCTAATGATATATAGATTTTATAAAAATCGATGTTAGTGTTTATTTCATGCGCAGAAGTTTCCTGAAAAAATAATCCTACGCGAAAATTGTATAAAACTTGAGCGGAAGGCAATATTTTAAATTGAGTTGATAAACAATAATCATAGCTAACATTGTAGCAATTGAAATGTTTTCAAATTACCTTCTGAAGACAACATTTGCGATAATTGTTCTTTAATGTTCTGGGGGTAAGAAAAATAAATTATCGTTAATTAGACATTTAAAAAATTCAAAAATGTTATGATTAGTATTAAATTTTGTCTATTTATTTTACAAATTGTAGAACTGTTATGTCCTAAAACGTTTTATTATAAATTTTTCGTGGACCGCAACGGGACATATGAGACGATTAAACTTGGTTGTGGAATTAATCAGCCGGTTTCACTCCAATATTGATTCACATACACGTTTTATTTCTGTTACTGTTTAATACATTTTTCTACAAGAATGAATCACCTGAATGAAATATTCTAAAAAATCATTGAATTTCCACGCGGCCTCTTTGTTCTTACGGCAATGAAACTTTGCGAAGCATTTTCGTTGGTGTAATCAATAACTAAACTGGATCTCTTTATTGGGTATAAATACATGAATTTATTTATAAATCTTAGCAAATGTAATATGACTACATATTTCATATAAAGACATCATTATTTATTTTAAAATATATAACAACACAAGTGTAAAACTTTATGGTTAACAAAATTAAAAACTGGAACTTTATTTTTAAAATCAACAAAAACAAGGTAAACAATTTCAGATAGGTAAGTTCAATTATGATCATGTGAAGTACCACTTGGAACCAGTTTTTCGTAACAATCTTACTTTAATTAAAATTATTTTTGATGAAAAATAATTGAAAAAAAAAAACGTCAAGTTGGAAATTAATTTTAACTATCGTTGTACCTTACCTAGCAGGCTTTGTATGATTTTCGATAGAAAATGAAAATGTAGTTTTATTGACAATATTAGTTTTTTATTACAGAGATAGTAGCAGGTCGCATAACGTTAAAAAATGCGGAAGCGCGCTGAACTTTAACAAATTTTCCTGAAAGCGAATTTACATTGTTATCGCAAGCTCGCGTTTGCGTCGTCGTTATTTTTGTTTAATTTTCGAAAATGCGCCCATCTATATAATTTTTGGTTGTTATGAGCGATAAAAGAAATGTGTATTATTATATAAATGTTTTTTCTTTGTTGTTGTGAGTCACATTTGTTGCAGACTATTCGCTACGAGGTTGGTGTACTTTAATTTTTTTTTTAAATTAGTAAAACATGAGCAACACCGACTTTTTTTTGAAGAAATGTGATAATTAACCATTTATTAACATTCTGTAAAAATATTTTTAAAATTAGATTATAAAGAAATTTTTATGGATTTTTTTTCCGCGCGCACCACGAGGTCACGAAAATTCATTGTATTGATTGTGTTTTCTTTTTATAAGAATGTTCATAACTGCTAAATAAATAAGTTTCATGAGCAACAACGACTTTTTTTGAAGAAATGTGATAAATAACCATTTAGTTAACTTTCCGTAAAAATATTTTTGTAATTAGATTATGAGGAAATTTTTTAAGGATTCTTTTCCGCGTGCACCGCGCGGTCGCGAAATTCGTTGTTTGAGTTGTATTGGTAGTTTTTTCATCAGAATGTTCGTAACTGCTAATTTTCACTAGCAACAACGACAATTTTTGAAGAAATGTGATAAATAACCATTTATTTAACATTCTGTAAAAATATTTTTGTAATTAGAATATGATAAATTTGATCAAAAATGCATTGAAAATTGGTTGTCTGTGTTTTTGGAATAGAATGGTCATAACTATTAAGTTTCCTGCTTGATATTAATTATTTTAAAGAAATGTGATAAATAATCATATATTAACGTTCTGTAAAAATATTTTTGAATTTGTAATTGTAAAACTGCTGTGTAATTGACGGTAATACTATCAAAGTTAGAACATACAAAATATTAAGTTTGAATATCACTACCTGTCCTCCATTTTATATTCAGACATTAATTCTATTTTTAAAAAGCAACAGCTTCGCTGGAGCACAATTTTTCATATAGTTTATGATACCGGTCGCAGATTGTTTGATTCTTTCAACGATCTTCATAGACATTTTGCAAAGATTAGTTAATAGCACAACTTATATTCAGTATAGAAATTTTCGGTCCAGAAATTTTCGGTCCAGAAATTTTCGGTCCCGTAGTTTTCGGTCGCCGCCTATTTACAATTTATACGTAAACGTCAGTTTATTTATACAGCGCTATTTCCGTGACGTTCAACAGCGCTCAAACGTTGTGCCGAGGCATGCGCTATTCACCGCATCACATACTCAAAGTACATAACAAGCTTTGGAATGTAGCATAGCATGCATTCGAACCCGGAATCCAGGCTCATAACCACTACACCGCACCCGCAGCTCAAATCAAATTGATCGTGCTTGCATTCACATAAGTGAAATAGTGATTGTAATGCTTTGAACAATGGATTATTCGAATAATGCGTGCATTGTATTCAAGGTTTTTCAGGTGATAATAGTAGTTCAAGATATCCTTGCATTTTGTTAGGGTTAGAGACATATTACTGAAGGTTATGTAAAAAATTTTTAAATTGCATTGTTGACATTTTTTGTGTACTATAAACTTTGGGGACCGAAAATTTCGTGACCGAACTTTTCTGGACCAAAAATTTCTATATAGTAAATTCTGGGACCGAAAACTCCCGTACTGAAAATCCCTAGATTCCATCATTGTGTCATAATTTTTTAAATTTGTCTTCTCTTTTAACACGCCAAAACATCCAATCAAAACTTTCTTAAAACATTCCACTTAAGGACCTTCCTTATAACTTTGCTGTCAAATATTTTTTAGCATTAGCCTCAAAAGATTTATAACCTCCTGTCGTCATGGTTTTTTCTCTTCTAACCAGCTACTGAGCTACCCAATTTATTATTTTCTCATCGTATCATATAAACATTATTTACGTTAGTGAGAACTGCAATTGAAAGGTAGAAAATGTTTGAAAATATGTGGCTGATTTATAATGTAAATATTTAATCCAGTTTTGATGTTGTCATATATTTTTTTGAATGTAAAATATCACGCTGTCAAATAATACAATTACACACATGAAGAAAAATATAAAGAAATAATTATGAATAATCGCGTGCAAATTTTTATATAAAGATTTTAAAATCCTGTGTATTATGCCTAATAAACAAAAACAATTATTAAATATATTATGCATTTAACTAAATAAACTTAAAGAACTCTGAAACTAAAACCCTCAAATCATTCAACTTTCACAACAATTTAATATAATAATATAATACCATTAATATTATACACTCACACATCACCTAAGCCCATCTGATCACTGCAGTATACTTACATTCAAATAAAATTTCCACAACTGGCATCATTCACACCGTTTACTATGATGCTTCCTTTTTCAACTGGCAGCCCTATTCAGGTATATTTGCATTATAGAACATTAATTAAACTGCTAAATAATCATTTTCTCTATTTTTTAACATGGTAAGCATTTTGATCTTCAGCCTAAAGTTTATAACATAAAAATTAAATATCTCAGAATGTTTATGACAATTAATACTGTTGAATTAATTTATTTCCATCAACAGAAAGTCTATAAGGATTAGCTAGCCCTTCAAATTTAAACTGTAATCAAATTTTTAAAAAAATGGTACTTATTTTAGAATAATTTATTCTTAGGCATTCATCTAAAGTTATTTTTATCTTTATGTGGAAATTTGAAAATGTTTATCTTTTACTGTAATTAGTCAGTTAAATTTTTTATTGGAAATATTAAAAAAAGGAAAAGAGATTCCAATCATATACTTCTTCTAAGATGATGCTAAGTTATACTAAGCAGACCGTGATAAAAACTGCATTCTATACGCTGTTGATGTCACTGGCATGTTTAATTATTATGATGACAGTATGCAACCAGTTTTACGTGAGGTCGATGCTGAGTAGCTTTTATTCAGGGCCAACATATCATCACGATATAAATAATATTTTCATTGATGACAATTTTGGCAAATTTATTAACGATTTTCAACATAAATAACTACTGTAGTTTAAACATTAATTTTTCTGAAAATTTTTTTTTAATTTATATTTCTGGGCGACATGATGGCCTAACGGTTAAATGCGTCCGGTCCTGTCTCGCAGTGACTGGGTTTGATCGCATGGATATCCCCGCTTATCATATGCCATGTGTCTGATGCGTTGTTTCCCGCCTATTCACTTATGTCGTGTGTTAATGAAAAATAATTATAAGAGATTATTTATTTTAATGTGAGATTATTGTGTTTTATTTTTTTCAATAATATTCTATAATATATATGACAACTTTAATATCAGATGTTCATGATAAATTTATTATAAATGTTAAATGCATTTTCAGTACAGTTTGCAAAATTTTGAAATATCCATTTGAAAACTCATTGTAGAAGCAGCTCGATTCAGTTCTATTTTTCATCTTCAGATCCGTCGCCCACATTCAGAAGAATAATTTTCAAAATAAAACTTTAATTAATATTTCACAAGTTACAAATTTTACACAGAGCCAAAGCAAGAAAGATAGAAGACCATGGTTTTGTTAATTTCATTGATTCAAAAAAGTTAAAATTTTTTACATGTGCTTAAACCAGCCACATCTGAAAAAGTTCAAATATGCACTAAAATATGCACTGAAACCAAAGTTTTGTATGTAGGCTACTCGTGGTAGTCCAGCGGTAAGTCACCGACCGATTTAGCTCATTCGGAAAAAATGCCATATCGGGTATGTGCGTCGTGTGGTGTAGATAGTAGCAAAATCTTTCCTTGTAGAATAGGTCTAGAATAACATGTATGTTACAAAAATTGTAAAAAGAGTGCGGGGTTATACTCCAGAGCTCTATTGAAAACCACATCCATTCACAATCTGGTTAATCCCCAACACGTCACACTCACATACGTTTATTATTCAAGTTTGAAATTTATTGTTTTGTTTTAGTAATATTGTCATATGAATTTTTTAATGTGAATAATATTATTTTAAATTTTTATCGCTGATGGATAACAAATGATAGCGCGCTTTTGAGCGAAAAATTTGTTAAAGTTATTTTTTCATCATCTTTGAGACGTGAATACATTCATTTTATTAGTACATTTACTAGAGACGCACCGAAGATTCGGCTGCGGCCATCTTAAGGCCGAATAGATCAAATAGTAAAACTTCCGTTAAAACCATCAATATTTTGGACTCAAGAACAATAATTGTTGAATATTATTGACGAGAAATTTATGAGTGCCATCATAGCTAATAAAACATCTAAATTTAAACAAGAGATTGTATATTATCTCTATTATATCTATGAAAATGTTTGGTAAAGTTTTTCCAATTTTGATCAAACATTTCATTTAGCTGAGCCAAGCTTTTCTCTGGGACAAACAACGTGGTCTACACCATCAATGAAGTTGATCACCATATTTCTTTTGCAGTATCTAGGTTCCGTGGTCACCTTGTTGGGTTCCAAACGATAATACCTACCACGGCATCTGAAACTACCGAACTGGATTTGAATTTTGGGATATATTGTTTGTTGTTGGTTCGTTGATGTTGTTGTTGATGTTGTTATCGATGTTGTTAATGTTTGTGGTGGAGTTGTTGATGTTGGTTTATTGCTTGAATTTTTTGTTGATTTTTTTTGTTAATGGATGTTTTCAATGATGAAAAAAATTTTGTTTGCATGGATGTTCAACAATCATATTCAAAAGTAAACAACACCGGATTATTTGCAACTTAAACCTTTTTATATTATATTAAATTTTTTATTCATTTATTTATTTATTTTTATTTTAATCAATTTTAACTCTAAAATGAAACATTTACATTAGAATTGTAATTCTAACCAAATTGAATGCTTCCACTAATTAGTAATTTCATCATTCAAATCATTGTATCATTGTAATATAACAACTTACTTCAGTTTTGCGTTATGTTAAAAATGCTATAATCAAGAATAACCACCCATTGAAAATGTTGCATTGGTCCTGGTGCATATTTGTAAGTGAATAAGGGGAAAGCGGTGAATTCGTTGCGGTAGTGACACACTCCCTTCAAATTATGAAAATAAATTCAGAAAAAATATAATATATTTATTCAAAAATATATATAAACCTGATGCGGTAATTTATCGGATCGAGGAACATTAAATTTTATATTTTTATTTTTGTCAGCTTTGTCAACATACAATCTTCTGGCAAATGTTAACGGACATGGTTCTAGGTTTGTGAATTAATATTCATTTATTTTTTATTTATTTAATTTTGTAGAATTAATTGAAATTTCTATTGTAGTTTTCAAACTCCAACTAAATCGAATCCCCGCTATAAAAACATTTCTAACAAACAGAATAACATAACTGTATCTTTCCAAAGCTTTGAAACACATGTAACGAGAAGACCAACATGCAGTAAAATGACAACATTTTTAAAAAACAAATTTTCTCCTTCAATTGTGTGTGGTTAATGTTTAGTTGTCACAAAAATGAACCTTTTTTCAAAGCCGATTAGAGTTTATCACTAACTTTTTTTAGTTTACGGAGGCGAACTAAATAAATTCTTATCGGAAAAATGAACACGTTTTCAATCAATGGTGGTCTGTGAGTCAGTCACTCAATTATTTTAATAAACTATTTAATGATTAAAAATAAAATTTAAAATATCATTAATAATTGCAATGACATCAGTAACAAAGGAGATCCTAATAGCTATGATAAGAACGAAAAAATAATGGTTAATAAAAAACGCATCAAGTTATTGCGATTATAATTAAGTTAATGGCATTTAATTGTAGGTGATAATATCTACGACATTGTTTTTACGCTGCTAAAATCAATCGCAGAGCGATCAGAAACACATGTGCGTGCAATTTAACGTGTCATTAGGTGCCGGAGCAAAGATTCTTATTCAAGTATTAGCGTGTCTTTTTACGCTCGTTGTTATGTTTCAAGTTTTGAATTTTTTTCACAGACGACTGAACCGTTTACCATTGTACTTGTAATGTACATAATTAAGTTGCATGTTATTTAAATGCGAAATTTAAAAAAAAGTATGTGATCCCAATCAGAAAGGTCAAAAAGAAAAAAATACTTTTCTTCATCGTTAACTTACTCCTCCAATCCATTAAATATGCATCAAGGATTATGAACCCAAATAAGGCTATCACACCTTTGAAATTTCAACATATATTTTGTGGAAGCTTGTAGCAAATCATTGGTTGAATGAATAAAATTTTTTTACATGTAGAAATATTTCTGTCGATAACTTAATTATAGATGGTGATTTATTTATTGTTATAGATTATTTTTAGAGAAAATTAAAGAAAGTGTTTTTATAAGCATATTCGTGAAATGTTGGCAGGCATTGCGTTTTTAATCAGATTATTGAAAAAAGTAACTACCAATATTTTATAATATTTAATTACTTTTCAGAAGTAATAATTAAGTAAGTATAAATTTGTTGTTGCAGTAGATTGAATTTGTTTTAATATTTCAGGTCTGTAGAATTGTTTCCTTTATTTCTGCAAAAAAAATTATGATGAAACTCAAGCTTTCTACGATTTCTGTAGTCTTTGTTTGTTTGATATTGTTGCATTTACCAGGTTATTATTACGAATTGTTACTTTTGAAAGTTATATAAACTTTATTTCATGAATGATCGATAATTTTGAGTCAAAAGAACATTTAAAAAGAGCCATCGCTCATATATTCAATTTCCAGCAGATATTTCTAAATACAAATATAATATCAAAAGAAAAAGATTAATGTTTTTATTAAAAAAGTCACCACATCAACAATAACAAACTCAAAACTTCAAACCAACCAGAGAGACATGCCTGCCCGGTCAGGCCATGCATGACTAAATGTAATTTGAATTGGAAAGATGCCGATGGCTGTGCTGTCTGTACTACTTGCAACTGTGGCAGGGTATGTTTGAACTAAGATAATCGATGAGATAGAAGTTTTATTAAATCAAAAAATGTTTTTTTTTAATCAGCTGTGTGAAAATTTCAATCATTTTAATATCCATTTATTCATTTGCTCGTTTGAAGATTTGTTGGGTGAACAATATTTTATAAAAATAATTCACATGATCTTGGAAATATTTCTGATACAGAATAATTTTATTTTTACATAAAGTTCATTTGCAGAGATGGTCAGTATTGTCGCCTGTACACAGGTCTTCGTTTAGGCTTGGCCTGCTTTCTCAACTGAATAGACGTTTTGAAGAAATTTTCTAAGTTTCAATGTCTATAATAATGATATCTAACCATGAATTAAAATTTCATTGGTAGTTTTGTTGAATGTTGATCAAATTTTAAACTAAAAATACTGATATGATAAAATAATGTGAATGAAGTGGTTTTACCTTTTGAGTTAGTTACTTTCTAGATGTTGTTAGAAAATAACAAATAAAAACTTTTTTAAGGTAAAATTGTTGATCAGCTTTGACACTATTGAGCATTCTAACTATAAAATATAGTTGTTTTGTACAATTTGGAAAGATTTTTGCGGTCGGCACATTCGAACGTAGGTCAAATATTTTTCCAATAGTTGAATGAACTGTGCATGTTGACCAAAATTTGTGGATTTAATTGATTGGTGATGTCTTATTATTTATTTTTAAAGATTGTGCAAGAAATATTCTGGTTCTTACTTCTTCACACAACTTGTGTATTTTAGTATCGAAGTGATGGTCACAGCGTCAGTTGTTTCAATTCTTCCTTTAGTTCATTGATTGACTAATCCATTATTAAAGTTGAAATATATTTTGTGCAGTAGACGGGGCAACAAATTTTAAATTAGAAGCTGCAAAAGACTGATAAAATTGGTGACGATTTTAACGTTATGCAGTGAGTAAAATTCTATCAAAATAAAAAAATATGCTTTAGCTTCTACGTGTCATTTCGGTAGTTTTAGACTTTGGTGGGTGATACTATGGAGGCGTTGATTGAAGCTGATGAAGTCGGGAATGATAGTAAGTTTGAGTGGTTTTATGATTTGCTACATTTGAACCATTCCAATTTTTGAATGTCAAAATGATCGGTGGTGCATTTTGAGAACCTACCTGACACAATGACTTACCAACTAATCTGAAAAATAAAACAAAAGTGTTTGCAGATGATACCAAAATCCTAAGAGCAATATCGTCAGACAACGATGTAATCGAAGTTTATTCTGATTTGAATGAGGCATTCAAGTGACTTTGACGGTTCAATATTAAAAAATGTACCGTAATGCACTACGGATCAGGTAATAAAAAATGTCCACTGTGTATAAATGGAATACTTCTTGCTGAATCAGAATCCGAGAGAGATCTTGAAATAATTCACTCAAATAACTTAAAATGGAAAAATCAAGTCATCACTTCATCAAACAAAGCAAACCAAATGCTTGGTCGAATGAAAAATCTTTTGGGAAATTTGATTATAAGTTGCTTCGTAATTTATACCTAACTTTTATTTGTCCACTGTTGGAGTTTTATTTCCAGCTATTCAGTTTTAATTGAGTTGGTTTGAAAGGAAATATTGCAGGGTTTATGGCGGTAATTTTAAAAATTAAATTGTATTTTGTTTTTAATTTTATTACCATTTTAATATTAAACTTAATTAATTTTACAAATGCAAGTAATGTCCATATTGCAACAAGTTGTTTGTTAAAGTTATCCGCCACTCATAAATAAATGGATTAGTGTCTAAATGGATTGAATCGTTTCTTAAAAACAGACAAACAAAAAATTGTTCAAGGTGAAACTATTTCTGACTGGGCTGAAATTCTTAGTGGTGTTCCTCAGGGCTGTGTTATTGGTCCTCTACTTTTTATTCCCTACATCAATGACTTACCAACAAAACTGAAAAATACAATAAAACATTTTGCAAATGATACCAAAAGCATGGAAGCAATATTGTCAGATAACGATGTTGTCAAACTTCAATCTGATTTGAATGAGGCATTTAAATGGACGCAAGACTGGCTTTTACGGTTCAACATTGAAAAATGCAGTTATGCACTACGGGCCAGGTAATAAAAAATGTCACTGTGTATAAATGGATTACTTCATGCTGAATCTTAATCCGAGAAAGATCTTGGAGTGATTATCTCAAATAACTTAAAATGGAAAAATCAAGTCATCACAGCATCAAACAAAGCAAACCAAATTCTAGGTCGTATAAAAAAACTTTTTGGGAAATTTTTTATGCTTCGTAATTTATACCTAACTTTTATTCGCCCACTGTTGGAGTTTACAGTATCAGTTTGGTCTCCAGATCTAAAGGGCGATAGCGAAGTAATCGAAAGAGTCCAGCACAGAGCAACAAAGTTGGTTCCATTTATAAGAAACCTAGCTTACAAAGATTGTCTTAAAAAATTAGGATTAACAATCTTGGTGGAAAGAAAAAAAAAGAAGGTTTGATTCAGTTTTTTAAAATCATGCATAATTTGGACAAAGTTGATTTAAATAATCGTTTTAACATAGTCAAAACCAAAACGCGAGGTCACAGTTTGAAATATTTTAAAGAGTTAACAAGACATAGAGGCAGATAGAACTACTTATTCAATAGAGTCACAAATACTTGAAACACATTATCAAATGAACTTGTTGAGGCACAATCAATGAACAAATTTAAAGCAGGCATTGATTGTTGGATGAACAACAATCAATCAACGAATCAGCTGTGCTAGCATGCCTGACATCATGCTCTCTAGATAACCTCCAAAGCAGCATTACTACTACTACTACTACTACTACTACTACTACTACTACTACTACTACTACTACTACTACTACTACTACTACTACTACTACTGCGACTACTACTACTACTTCTATTACTCCTGGCGCTGTACAAAAGGTACTTCAAATGTAAAGTCTAACGTTAACATTTCGCCAAGCATAATCAACTTAAATAATTTTTTATTCAATTCCGACAATAATAATTCAATAACTTGCTGATGTGGTATGCAATGTAGAATAAAAAAGGATTCAAATTACATCAACGAGCATGTGAAGTTTACCACAAACTTTAATCATCTAACAACTCGAACGAAATCAACAACATCAGTCAAAAAGATGATTTCAAAAACAGTAACAACGCTGCCAGCAACAGCACTGACGCCATCGCAACTGCACCAAAAACAACGGTGCCAACAAACATCAGCAAAACAGCAGCGTCAACTCGGCATCAATATCGTGGCAACAACATTGCATTCTCAGCATCAACTCTGGCGGCAATATCGATACCTGCAACATCATCGGCAACAACTACCTAAACAACTATAATATTAGCAACTACACTGACAATCACAAAGACGCCATTGTCAACAACAGCCTCTCCACCGACAACGGCTACAGCAACGATTCCAACAATAACGTCAATATCAAAAGCGACAGCAACAAAAACATCCGCAACCACATCAACAACGGCACTGTAAACAACAGCAGTCGTATTATCAGTGTCATCAACAGCAGCAGCAGTGTCAATAATCAAATCGCGTGCAAAGTCCACAAAACTTTACAACTATCGAATGTTACGAACGCTTTCGCAGGGATCAAACTGCTAAAAAAACCCTGCGCAGTGGTCAGGGGCCAATGCTTATTTTCAACTGGACTATAAGTCGCTTTCTGCTTATTTTCAACTGGACTATAAGTCGCTTCCTGCTTATGACAATTTCGAAAAGTTCACGTTAGCATTTTAAGCAATGATCTACAACTACTGCGCTTCCAACTATGGTACTATTAATTCAAAAACATTTTCAAACGACAACAGTAATAAAAATGTAAAATCTTTGAAGAAAGAATTAAAAAACTTAAAGTTCTTGGTCACAACAACAATCAATTTGATGTTCAAATTTGCTCGGTTGCTAAAAAATGAATATCAAAACTTTCAACAGTGAAATTTACCGTTGATCAAAAACCGAACATCACCAATCAACATAAACGTCGTTTTTGGTGGACCTTGAAAAAGTTATTCATTCAACCAAGCAGCTTGAGTCCAATGTTTGATGTCGACACTTGCATAAACTATTTTCGCTCCATTCTAAACGATGACAATCTCGTTAACCATTAACATCCAAATTGGATTCTCAAAATTGCAAAACCGACGACACCTTAAAATTTAAATTTTCCTTCAAATCACGAAATAACAGCAATCATCTGCAAATGCAAAGTTAAATCGTCCTCCAGATCAAATATCCATAATTCCTTTCGTAAGATGCCCTATCCTTCGCACGATTCTTCACCGATTACTAATGCGATGCTGGTTAACTATGACAATTCCATTATGTTGGGAAAAGGATTTACTATTTTATACATAAAAAAGGAAAGGCCAACAATCCAGCAATATTTTGTCTGATAACTTTGCAACCCACACTCTATAAAATAATTTCATCACTCATCAATAATAGAAACCTCAATTTTCTCCCAACTCCTGACCAACATGCTGAAAGAATGCAAAGGCATCAACGCACCATTATTGTCACTCTGTTAGACCTCCGCATCGCATTCGGCGAAGTCAGCAACAAACTCATCTCCTCCACACTTGATAACCATCATGTTCCATAGGAAATAAGTAATTTAATTAAATTCATATATTTGGGCTGCACAGTATCAGTTTCGGGAAGCTGCTTCAGAGCGATCCAGTCTCCCCATTAATTTTTAATCTGTGCTTTAATCAGTTGATGAAATTAATTGAAGGGTCAAAATATCAACAATGCGAATACATTTGGAAACCGACGGGCGATTTGAAACCCACTGCTTGGCTTAAATTCGCGGATGATACAGCCATCAACGCAAACAGCACAGACGGTGCTCAAAATTAATTCAATTGAACCAAACCTGGTGTAAGGCTACCGGCATGAATATGATGATTG